CCGAATCGTACCGAAGTAAAGCTGAAAAAGTTCGAAAAAAGTTCTACGATCTCAGCGACGATATAAAAATCTTCTTGGCTAGTTACGACAGGATAGGAGAAGATCGGGTTTTTCACGAAGTTCAAGTGCATCAAGACCGGATCATCAAGACTAAGGGTTTACTGAGTGAAGCACTATTGAAGTGGATATCCGCGCTTGCGAAGCTTAGTCTTGGAGTAGTCTCCAGTTTAGGCCTAATTCCTAAAAAAAAATCATATACCACTAACACAAAAGAACTTAACAATGCCACCAATGAATTATGGGATGAAATCAAGGATTATCATTGTGAGTTGTTGTGGTTTTGTAGAATAATGTTGGTATTTAACTAACCTCAAATGCTATTTTATTGAGTTATTTTCTATTTCTCTCTATTTACAATGCACAGCCAACTGGGTCGATCGAAAAGAGCATAAAAGAAAAAGCAATGTCATAGAAAACACATGCAAATTGGGAAATACAATGAAATCGTTTGACAATATCTGGGGTACGTTTAGTTCCAATATTCAAAATCTTAAAAAAACTTTAGACTTGATCTCAAATATCAACCAACCGAGGGGCAACAATGGTCACGAATTGCTATTACGGAGACATTTAGAATCTATTTTTGAAATTATGAACACCGATATGGATTACCTGAAATTGTATGCCCAAAAGATCGGCTCTGCAAGTAATAAATATTCATTCCTGCGCTACTTTCAAAAATAAGTGTAATCTTATTATGCTTTTTATCTTTCTTATGTTTCTATTTACGTCTCTTATTTTCAAATTTGGTTTCCTCTTTGATGTTAATAAAGGAAGACATGAATTATATTGAAATGGTTTACTAAATGAGAATTTGTAAATAAAATTGAATGAATATCACGTGATAGATATTCTAAGGTTTCCGTTCACACAGATATTCAAAAAAGAATTGCGAATTAGTGTAGTGTGCCGATATGGTCAATAAGTTGACACTCAACTCTCGACGTCTTTGACTTTGAATTTGTGTTAGGGTTCATCAAGTTTAGAACATTTCTTTGAAAAAAAGAAAAAAAGAAAAAAAGAAAAACTTTAGAAATATCAAAAGCATTGAGTTCCTGAAATTTCACAATTCTTATATTATTAGGTTAATCTGAATAAAAACAAAATTTTTTATTGTAATATTTACAAGTATCTACAAGCCTTTTTTCCCATGAAAATGTTAAATTCATGTGATAGGATCTTATTATAATATTAATATACAGTCAGACTCCTATATAGTCACATCCTATATAGTCACATTTTTTCGTTAATTTGAAAAATTCCCTGCTACTAAATTAATCATAGTAAAAACATGTCCTGCATAGTCACCAAAATTCTTGAAATTTCACTATGGTCCCGAGGTGTGTGACTATATAGGAGTCTGACTGTAATTCATTTATTTTAAAATTTCTTTGAACAAATTTAAATATATATGATGCAGGAGCCAGGGTGATTTATAATTCATCATGTGATCTGTATAATTGAACTACATCAGCATTGGCATTAAATTTGTGTTTCGCTTTCTTGGAACAGCCATGTGGTCTTCCCCAAAGCCGGTTACACTTCTCGCAAACCCCCAAGCATTCTGACGTATCTGCCACGTCTTTACCACAGTAAGTACAGCGCTCAATGCAACCATTAGACCCAAAGTCCCTCCCACAGCAGGTCCATACTTTTCTGTCTCTGTACACATAACGGTAACGATAAATATTTATAGGTAGGATGAAATCAAGGTAACTGTCTCCAAATTTCCTGTATTCATTTTGAGTTGTGACATATCCTGTATGGACAATTTCCGTGCTTGGGTGTTTGTGATTTATCTCCTTCGTATGACACGGATACTTCTCAGCCAGTCTTATATCAGTTTCCTTTCCACATTTGACGCACTTTGCATCTTTAAAAGTGACTTTTATTGGGTTTTCTGCATGATGTTTTTCCTGTATCATCTTTTTATAAACATTAAATAACTCCTCCTTCTTGTATATCCCTTGTTCATGTAATTCTTCAGGGGTAAAAGGTTTAACACGATATTCTGACAAACGATCATGTAAATACACATGGATGAATGAAGTCTTAGCAAGCA